AATATCAAAAATTGCTTATAAGTTTAAAATTGGAAGCGTCTCTCTTTAGGCTTTGAAAAAGGTTTACATTTGTTATTTGTGTGAGAATTCTAAAATTTTGATGAGTTTAATTTTTTGGAAACCTGAATTTGATTGTTTTATTCGCAGGAGTTCTGAAACTTTGACGAAGTTGGCTCTATGCAAAATCTGAAATTATGCGAGTTGCTTTACGTTAGTTGGAAGTTCATTTTGCTTTTTTTGGGCTTCTTTTGGTCTGCAGTTTTGAGGTTTTAACGGTGGCATTTTTGATACTATATGAAAGATTGGATGACGTGAATGCAACATTTGGGTTTAGGCTTGGGTGTATAAATGCATAAGTGTTGTGGGGCTATCTATGTAGTTGTCTCATTAGTTCGGTCCCCTTGTTTTGATTTGCTTAAGATGCAGTTTAGAAAGGATACCTTTTCGGTTGATTCGTTTGTGAAATTGGAGGAAATGATACCCTTTTGGGTTGATTCGTGGATCTCTGGGCCGCATTTTTGAGACTTTTCGTCGATCATTTTAGATGCGGTTTTGAGGGTCAATCCATCTTTTATTTCACCATTTCAGGTGGATTGATCCCTCCTCTCTCTCCCCCCATTTTTTTCTTCTTTTATTCCTTGCTTCTCGGTTTGATTTAGATGCTTATGTCCTAAACATAAGTTCATATATATAGCCATGACTATATATGAATTGTCAAACAAGGCTATAAGTTGGACGATTCATTTTGGAGTAGGGCCTTGATGATAAAGGCATTTGGTGGTAGAGTGGAATAATATTCCATCCAATGATATCGGTACCCAATCCTGGGACCCGGTGAAATGTAGGATGATAATTTTATTCACCGACACCAGACTAGCAGGACACCCTTGCATTCTTAGGGTGTTGGCGGTCTTAGCCCGACCGCATAATCGACTTGTGGACAATCATATTTTATAAAACATAATGATAAGAACAGATACGTTATTTGCAAAAAGTATTTTGACTACAAAAAATTGATACTACTTTTTCTTATATGTGTGAAATCTATATGCATACGAAAACAAAAATTCTAAGTAATATAATTTGATTGTCCACTTGTCAATTACCGGTATTGGGATAAGAAATACCCTCCTAAGTCGGTATTGTAGGAAACACTTCTAGTTGAATGTCGGGCTCTATATATACGGGTGACCGATGACTGCCTTCAGAGTTCCTCAAGAATACCTAAATCTGAGCCCACTCAAACCTGATTGCTTATATTCCACTTCGGCTTTTTTTATTATTTCACTTGTTATTTCCTTCGAAACTTCCCTGTGTCTTCTTTTAGTTTTCTTTGAGCTTATTTTGAGTCACTTGAGTTTATTTGATAAGTTATGAAGTGGGAGTCCCAGGGGCAAAATGGTAATTTTAAATTTTAATGTCTTAATCAAAATTTAGGATTAATTATGGAAAAAATGAGTAATTTTGATCTTAATGAATTCTTATGGATCTTTGAAACATAATGAGATAAAAGGTAGAAACCAATTAGCCTCCTTTTCATGATAAGGGTAAGATTGAAATTTCCTAAATTATTAGGATTTGGAAGTTAATTAAACTTAAATGGTTCTAAAGTAATGGACTTATATTAGGAAGATGATAATTAACTTATTTTAAGCCCACAATTGAATATGATATGATCTTTTAATAAGAATATGTATCACTTAAATTAAAATTCTAATAATTGCAAATTTACCCACTGAAATTGTTAAAGGCTTGGTAGCGAGCTAAACTTAATCTAAAATTGTTTAACGAGGTCTAGAAAAGATAAGATGATTGATAATCAACACCTCTTAACACTACAAACCCAACTTTTGTGTTGGACACAATCTTTAATGACTTAAACTTGCCCCAGGGGCATCACCCATATAACTTTTAAGATATCAACTGATTAATTGAGTGCCACACTCTTGGGATAATTAAAATGTCAATGTTCACTCAGTAATGGGGTAGTTTCAATCCGACCCTGGGATGATTATTAAAATAATATAATAAGTTCAAAATGAACTCGAAACTTTTCAAGGGATTTCAAAAGATGTTTAGGGTCATTTCCCGAACACTTTAGAATCTCTTTGATATTTTGAAGGACAAATTGAACTTGCTATATTTTGTTCTAGAAAATCATCCACTAAGATTTTTCGGGATTCACTGAGTCATGGTTTGAGGGTTCAGAAACTACACCTTCATCTACTCTTGCAATTTATTTAATTTTTCTGCAAAATTCTATAACTCTTGCAAAAACTAACGTTTCAGTGGGAATGATGCCGAGAAGATGACAGGTACACTTTTATAGTGTTATTTAATTTCTGTCATTTTGCTTTTTGCAATCTATTTTTGTTATAAAATATTATAATTGCTTGGTTGTGCACTTGTAAAAAACCAAAATCATTTTAAAAAAATAATCAACATTTTTAAAAATCTAAAATAAATTATTTCAAAGGTAATCATAAATCCTTTGAAATGTCATTAAAATTTAAAACGTAATTTTGAATTTACGGGTGTCCCTCGGAGGAGCTAACCCACGGTTGCTAACGAGATCTTCCCGGTTTAAATAAGTGTAACAACTTGTTTGAGCTAAGTAAGTTCAAGAACGAGGGAACCGTGAGATTCTAGCCAGTGTCGCTCTAATCAACTTTAACACCTCATGCTTGAATTTAAACTTGTCATTTAAACCTTTAAACCTAAGACTTTAGGATTGCTACTTCGTCGAGGAGCCTTGAGCTAATTCTGTGGGCAGCAATCTGCAACAGCACGAGGATCTACACAACATGAGGATCTACACGACCATCTTTAACAACAAGAGGATCGACAACAACATACCATTCCCTAGAATTAAAGAACAAGTCATAAGACTTCGAGGTTGTCCGCATAGTACGACATAAATCCTCAACTATTTCTTTAAGCATTTGCACAATCATGTTGTGCAATTTAAGGACTCTTAGATTGTCGTTCGCCACGACCTAAATCCTCTTATTTTCCAGGCTATTTGTAAGATATTCTCACACAAATGTAAGCCCAACTAAATAAAATTGGGAAGATGAAATAGTTGATAGTTTTTCTCGAAGCTGAAGCCAAATCGTAGGATAGTTTGGGAAGTCACTGAGGTTCTCCTCAGGATCCATGACAGCCACTAGTTTTTCTTCTTTTGGATTCCATAATAATTGTTCCAAATTTGAGCCTTTTCCATTTGACACTCCTTGGTCCGATCTTTGAAAAATCTTGCCCTTTGAAATTCTTGAAGACAATATTTTCTGATATAAATCGAGAATTTTATTAGATGACTTCGATTATCTAAGATGTAATTAACTATAGGGGATTGCCCTTATAGGAAACTTTAAAAACCCAATCTAAAATAAACCCTATCTAATCTTTCATATTTGATAGAAGAACTCATCAGTCAACATAAAAAGTGGTTTTTCGCAGACTTAAACGAATGTCATAAATTTTTTAGTTTATCTAATCGAGTCTCACTCGTGAGTAATATGTCTATTCCTCGGGATTGATGAATCACTTGCGGTGCTGTGCTCTCTTATTTAAACTATCGTCTATATGGGATCAGATCGGTCTTGTATTTTCAAAATTGAACTATTACTTTTCGAACTATATATATATTATATTAAATCAAATATCTCTTTTCCAATTTGGCGACTGACAGTAAACCCTGTCTTCCCTCTTGCTGCTCTTTGTGCGAGAGTTGTTTCATTTTTCCCTTTAATCACATTAAATCCGTGAACTACGCTATTTAGTAAACCCCATATTTATCGCGAATCATTGTCATTCTCTTTGTGCCTTTCAGATTTACTAAATCCATGGGCCGGGAGGAGTTAATAAATTCGAGATTTACACCAAAATGGGCGGGAATCTGTTTTTAAGCAATCTCGGCTTAAATCCTTATTTAATCTTACTCTAAATCTTTTACCAGACAGCCGCATCGGTAAATTTTTAATCATATTCTAAGTGATCCTTTTGCTATTGGTGGCTCACTTTGTTAAATTCTGGTGTTTAATTTTTGATCTGTGTAGAGAAAGTGCTATGGAAACTTAGTTACATATTAAACGTTGTGGCGGCCTTATTGTGGTGGTTAGAATGAGAGCAGGGTGCTCTTGAATGATATTCATTATTTTTTTATTATTTCATTAAGCATATTTCGTAGAGTTTTTTAAAGGTATTTTTGAGAGTTTGCTTTACTTTTTGGCTGCTCTAATTTTTATTTATAAAAGGTGCATTGTGGTGATGCTCTATCAAAAAAAATCAGGGTTGTATCTTCTCCATAGTCAAAATATAATGAAATTTCCCTTAAAAAAAAAAAATTAAAATGAACTTGTAGCAGAGAAAACAAGATGCAGTTCATCAATTCGGTTAACTTGTGTAAATTTCTTCTGTTTCTTGTTGAAATTGTCTTTTTATTTGTTTTTCTCTGCTCGTGTTTGAAACATGTTTTGCCTATTTTCCAACACATCTCCTACTTATGAACCATTCCGTTCATGTGTTTTGTATTGCTACATAACTATAGCAGATAAAGAAGTCTTTTGGGAGAACTCTTATGAAACTGATCGGACAAATTATGGAAGATTGATAGAGTCCTTTTTTATATGCATTTGCTTATGAACATGATCATGCCATATGTTTTGCGTAATAACACTAAATTATAAATTTTAGAAAAGGGTAAACTATTCTAATGATGCTTTGATGAATGCAGTGTTTAATTTATTTTGTTTTGAAATTTTATTTTATTTTGAAGGTTGAAAGAAAAATCCCCCATTTGAGCTTTAGTAAGCATCAATTTTATTTATATTCTTCTGATTTGGAAATTCTCAAATTGCAATTTTAATCTTTGCTTCTGAACTTTATAAAGTGTAGGCTTTCATATTTACTTTATTTTTACTAGTGTATCTTTTTTACCTGATTTTTCAGTTACTGAGGATTATTTCGAGAAACAAATTTATTTGTTCTTCTTTTTCCAGGTTTATTTTACCGTCTATGATCAGCTCAAAAGGTTGCTTTGTTCAAATGGTTTGTTTGTCTATTAACTAGTTTCTTGGTGTTTTTGTCACTGAGGGCTCATTTGGTTGCTTGTAGATTGAAAACATTTTAAAAAAATTTTTTTGTCCTCAATTATTTTCAGTATAAAGTGAAACCATCGCAAATGAGGAATTTTGAGGCATTTGTGGAGTATAAAATCTATGTTAATTTCTAACTGCATCCAAACTAATGACCAAATAAATTTAGTTCACTTTTTTTCGATGACATTTTCTAACTCGTGGAAATCAAATGAACCTTAGAGTCTGTGTTGTAGTGTATTCTTTGCTAGTTTATGGTAAGAATCCTTCATTGCAGATGGGTGCAAACAACTTACTGTGGCTGGCAATATGGCAGCTGCAGCTGGTGCCGGAGTTGCAACAACAATGTTAACCAACCCATTGTGGGTTGTGAAGACGAGATTTCAAGTATGATATATTTCTATTTCTTTTCGTGGATTGGGGCCTGTTACGAAGAATTTAATTTCTCATGCAATTTCATGTATGAACAGTTGTAGTACACAATGCCAATAATTCTTGTTTAATATAATAGGCGAATGAAACTTTTAGTTACATTGGATGTGGTGAACTAGAATATTATGCAGCGTATATGATACTGTCAAAGCTTCATGCTTCCATGCATTCTTGTTAAATTGCTCTTACTATGGCCATGGCATTGAAAGGATTCAATTTTTGTGAATGATTTCACTAAGTATCTTTTTTTTATATTGTAGCTCCTGAGAGTATAGTGTTGTGAATTCATTATTATGGAATTGCTATTTTATGTGTGTTTTAGGGATTAAGTGTAAGCTCACAATAAAGCACACATCACACCGTTCTGTTGTGTGCATTGTAGCATTGTTTCTTGCTTTATGTTTTATGGTTTGATTCAACGTTTTCTGTAATAACTATGCTCATACATTCTTCTAATTTTTTTTTTCATAATTATCGAGTTGCCTATTGGTTCTCTATTCTCTCTAGTTGGTACTAGTCACTTTTTGGCAGTTCTCTTTATGCTCTCACATGCCACTTTTTTATACTCTTCTCTGTGGTTCTTTTTCTTAGCACTTGTAGCTTTTTGGTCAGAAGCTTCTTTTTGACAATACTTGATGCCTTTTTAAACTTTCACTTGCTTCACGCCGTTTGTCATTTTGTGCTGGCACTCAATCTTACTAAACTTTTTTATTCCTATGTATTATTGTCACATCATTTATATATTCGATTTTTTTTTGCTTTAAGATAGCTGGTGTTATTAAATATGCATTATATTTCTTTAAATGTATTACCTTATTTGGTTTTTCTTTGGCTAATTAAATGACTTGCATGCACATAATATCCGTATATATGTAATATTTAAGTTTTGAATGCTTTAATTAATAATTCTTTGTTTCGCTTTATGATCTGAATGTTGAAGCAAAAATAAATCTTTTGGCGATGCATTATACATAGTGCTTCGAAAACACTTGATCATTGTGAAATCTGTAACCGCAGTAATAGGTTGTCGCCATTAATTTGGTGAATTTGTATATTGTTCTTGGAGTATATATTGTGCTTTCATTTTCATTCTGTTTTTTTCATCTGTCTTGATTTCAATTAGATCAAGCTCTATCAAATGTTATGCAATTTTGGTGCCTTCTACTTAGTTTAAGAAAGAAAATATACTGCATATATGTTCACTAAATACATGTATAGAACATTAACATTTAATTAATTTTAGAGTTTTCATTCTAGCTTGACGAATTCTTATAATTGTTGATATTCATATTTTGCTTCCAACATTTGATAAAAGTTCAAATTAACCTAGAAATTATGAGGCCAGGTGATTCCGTTTCACTTTCTATTATAGTTGAAAATAGTATTGTTACTTCATCAGTCAACTTTGTATTGATACAAGTGCTCCACTATAGGCTCAAGAACTAAAAGTTGGTTTTGCGCCGTATCAAAATACAACGGGTGCTTTAAAGAGGATAGCACTTGAGGAGGGCATTCGTGGGCTGTACAGGTTTCATTTACTTCACATTGAATTCTTTCCCCCACCTAGTTTTTTCTTGCTATTGAGTCTGCTCAGTGCTATCATATTGTTCAAATAGTGGTCTTCTTCCAGCACTGGCTGGGATTAGCCATGTTGCAATCCAGTTTCCAATGTATGAAAAAATAAAAATATCCCTAGCCAAGAAAGGTAGTATATTAGTCTTAAATCAACAGAAATATGATGCTTAGGACTATTTTCACAATTCCTCTTTGCTTTGACTTGTGCGACCAGATGATGCAACTGCCGACTCTCTCAGTGCTGGTGATGTTGCCATTGCCTCTTCTGTCTCCAAAATACTTGCGTCAACCTTGACATACCCGCATGAGGTGGGGTCTTCTGTCTCTGAATGTCAATTTACATTTTGTAACTCGTGACTTCAAGCTAATCTGTCATCTTTATTATTTTATCACTCAAGGTGGTCCGCTCAAGGCTTCAGGAACAGGGTCTCCACGCACAAATGAGATATACAGGCGTGAGGGACTGCATAAGGAAAGTTTCCTGGCTTCTACTGTGGTTGCGCCACCAACCTTCTTAGGACGACTCCAGCCGCTGTAATTACCTTCACCAGCTTTGAGATGATCCACAGATTCTTGATCAGGGTTTTCCCTCCTGAACAACAAACTCAAATAATGTAGATTCTAATCCCACAAAAATTGTGAAGCTTCAGCCTTTCATTCATTCTGAATGGTTGTGGTGGCGCATCTATAACCTTGTTTGAGTTGGGTATTTATTTGGGCTTTTATTATTGCAATTGTAAGGATAGTTACCATAATCTTTACAGATAGGTAGGCGGTTATGTTGCGCTACTTTGGCGTCAATTATTGCTTTAGATTTAATAATTGTATACAGAAAATGGTACAGTAAAATATGATGATGACGATGACGAAGTCCGGTTATTGGCCTCCATATGTTCTCGAGGCTAAACATCTCCCTAGTAATGCTTTTCTACCGAAACAAATAAAGAAAAGATGTTTTTTTATTTGAATTTATTGTTATCCTGGCCTCCACTTTAAATATGTTTTTATTTAATGTTATTTGAATGGTCAGGGTCTTCAATTTATTAGTGAATGTTTTCTTACATGGAGATCGCTTGAGTATGCAATAGGCATTTGTGTGACAGAATTGCGGCAACAACACAAATCTTGAAACAAAATGAGAGTACACGATAGATAGTGTGAGCCCCCGATAAAAATGTGCCAAAGTAAGTCAATGAATTTAATTAATTATGAAGAAAATTAACGCTAAGGTAAGGGAAATGTCAAAGATTATGTTCAGTTATTTGCCTAGTTGACTTGCTGACCGACTTGGAGGTCAAATGAAATATGCCTGCAGGATGAATCAAATGGGTGATGTCCAATCACCCAGCGAACAAACAAACTATCTAGAATTTAAGAAGTCATAAGACTGCTCAGCTGAGGAGCCTGCATATTACTTACGTGTGGTTCGGCTTGTCACCACCAGACGAATAAGTAGGGATCAACAAAGAGGGACCATTGCCAATAGTCAGTAATTACTTGTTAGTCTATCTAAGTGTACTGCATTAATGACCTTGGTATATATGTCTCTTTGTGTAGGGTGGGGATTTCAAGTTAAATATATATTAAATATATCTTCTATACTTATAAATTAGAGACTATTTCATGACAAGACTCTAGACATTTTTACCTTTACTATTCATCTCTCCTCACACAACTCTTTCCTCATACACTACATTTCTTGGGTGTGATTTCTGAACATTTTTGAATTCAACATCCTTATAGGTGTGGTGAGCGTGGAATCACGCCACCTACAAAAAGAGCAATTCACAACAACAAAACAACTGTTCAAGAAGCATGGAACCGACCAATAGATGTGGATAACATAAAGGAAATTGTGTGGTAGTAGGTAATGGAAATGAGGGAATAAACGATAGGTGTGTTTCAAGAAGCTTTAGCTAGGGGGAGCCATATTCCTAAAGATTATAGCTGCCAAGCACCTGATTGTCGGAATGGACAAGTGACAAATGACACACGAGATGGATTGATACCCAACGATTGGAAGTCTTAGTCGATAGAAGAAAGGGGTGACAATTCTCATTTCCAGTATAACATCGAATCGACCTCGGTAATAAAACACCACACTATACGAACCACATCCTTTCACCATTAAAAGTGCTTTATGACGGCAATCTCTGAGACAAAACCCCCAGAAAAGTTCAAAACTCCCATTCTTGATTCGTGCAAAGGGCCTCACCGACCGAACTAATCATATAGCCACGTTTGAGTTAGTCGTCAAAATATTGAAAATTACCAATGCCGTCTCGGTAGGAGTTGTTCCCTCTTTACTTGAATTCAAAAGGTTAATCGTGGCCCACTTTGTGAGAGCGTAAATGTTGCGGAGGAAGCCCCAAGATCTCTTACAAGTCAAACTAAAAGAGAGAGAGACTCGTCGTTCATACATCAGAAGGTTCCAACAATAAATGATGGAGATTCAGAGCCTAGAAACCCTCATCACGTAAACTGCCCTAACATAAGGAGTAAAAAAAGTGTGCATTTCAAGTTTACTCTGGGCTTATGTGTGCCAAAATCAATGGCCATGCTACTGGAAATGGCCAACCAACACATTTCCATGGAGGAATACGTTCTTAACGATCTGGAAGAGGCCTGAAAAGCAACCACTGATACTTAGCCTCAGAAGAGAGCGCTAGTAGACGATGATTAGAGTAAGAAAGATGGTCCTCTCCCTTCCACATGACCTCGTTATGAAAATCATCGACCACACCGCGAAAGCCAAGGAAACACTGAGGGTGACAATTGAGATAGATGATCTTAATATACCTATCAACGATCGACCCATCATGGAGAACGATTTCCCGCGCTGCAAGAAACACTTAAAATGACCACCCTAAGAATTTCAATGACCAAGCTTATAGAGGCCATCCAAGATAATGAATACTTCCAGAAACCTAAGCCGATGAGAGCCAGTAGTTTAGCTCAGAAAGCCAACAAACAACTTTTACTTTTATTCCACATTATTTTCCTTTGTTTCCTGAGAAATAGGGTATTTTATGATTTTTCTAGAGAAAGATGGATTTTTGAAGTTCAGGTATTTAATTTAATTCAAATAATCCATATTTTTCTACTTAAACATGCGGCGCCAACTCATCAAACGGTGGCTCCGAACTCACACATGGCACTCCACCATTTAACATCGCCATCCACCTCAACTGCCACGTGGCTCACCTTTTCGCACCAAGAGTTGGTCTGGCTTTATCTCCTCTGTCCATCAAATAAACGCGCGATCAGACGGCTCCCCGTTATCGTCCCCAAATGACCTAACTCGAGAACCGTTCACACTAAAGTTCACACTAAAACCTCCGTTCACACTAAAACCTTAAGATCTTTGTCTAGACTTAACCAAATCGCATGGGGTTTGTTTCCAAACCTTCATCTACTCAAGACTAAGACCTTAAGATCTTCGTCTAGCTTGAAATTTTTAGGGTTTATTCCTTATGATAGAGGGGATGTTCTTTGATTTTTTTTAATGTCAGAGAGCATCTCTGTGCTTCTAACCTTAATTTTCAAGCTAGGATGACTATTTTGCTTTATTTTAATTATATAAATTAAAATATCATCTGAAAAATTATGGGAATAACTTTAGTAGGTTTCTCATGGTCAGAGAAGCTTAGGAAAAATTACAGGATGGTTTGAATCACTTTGTACACTTCTATGATTAATTGAATGCATATATTTTGTTTAATTTATGTAAATTAAATACACATTAAAAATTAACAAAATGAATTCCAAATTTTTCATAAAAATCATATTTACTCACTGTAAAAAGTTAAAAATTATTTGACTATGTTTGAGCTCTAAAGTTGATTTTCTAAGAAACCTTTTATTTTTGTACAAAAATAATTCTATAATATTAAATACAATTAGAAAAATTATGAGAAGTGGTTTTCTGAGTTCCTTGTGATTAGGAGTACTTAGGAAAAATAAAAATTCTTTTTGATAAAATACTTGATTTTTTAGCTTTATTTTGAATTTAAAATAATTAAAAATAGTTAAAAATTCGAAAAATACAAAAATATTTCAAAATATGCTTAATTGTTTCTTGATCACTTAGAACTCATAAGGATATTTTTCCTAATTTTTCTAAGTTAGAAATAAAATTTTAAAGACTTAAAAATGAAATTTCCTTATTTTCTCATTAAAATAATTAAAATAAATAAATTAAAAATAAAAAAAATACAAAGTTTGATTCTCTGTGTTTTCTAAACTCAGAGGACTCTAATAAAAATATAAAAAATAATTTTTGTAATTAAATTTTGTAATTAAAACATTATTTTCCATTTAATTAATTCATTGAAATTTGTTAATAATTAAATAATAATAATACAATTTAATTCAAAGAAATCATGGAACTTTGTCTAAGTATTTCTCTGACCTAAAAGGACGTCTAATGACTTTCTCATGAATAAAACTTTGTTTTAGATAATTAAATAAATCAATTTTAGAAAATATTTTTTTCTAGATTTAAATAATTATTTAAGTTAACTTAAATCTTGAAAACCCATGTTATTTTCCTCTAATGTTTTAATTACACCATAGGTAGGACACTTTAAATTCTCAAAATCATTTGAGTGGTGTTTAATGAATTAAGAAATAGAAGGCCCCAAGGGCAGTGCAGTAATTTTAGACTTTGGTGTTTTAATCAAAATTTAGTGTTAACCAAGGGAAAATGGGTAACTTTTGTCCTAATAAATATGTTTGGATGATTGAAACATGAAGGGATCAAAAGGTAGAAACTCACTTACCACCTTTTCACAATTTCCACAAAATCACAATTTCCCTAATCTTCATGGCTTGGAAGTCAATTAAGATCAAATGATTCCTAAGTGATGTGCTTGAGCTAGGAAGATGATAATTTACTTATCTTAAGCCTAAAATTGATGATGATGTGAACTTTCAATAGGGATATATTTCACTTAAACCAAAAGTTTAACCACCACCAATTTTCCCCATTATGATTGTTAAGGGCCTTAATAGTGACCTAGGCTCGATGTCTAAACTTAATTGATTGGATTTAAAAGATAATATGATTAGTGATTAACATTTTTAAACACTACAAGCCCAATTTCAACTGTGGAAACTAAAATCTTTACCTACCTAAATTTGACTTAGGGGCACCCACCCACTTAATGCTTAAATGAAATATCGATTGATTGAGTGTCCTAGCCTTGGGATAATTAAAACATCAAGTTTCCATCAATAATGGGACAACCTCCACTTAGTCTTGGATGATTAATGGAACGATATGATAAGTTAAAAATGTACTCAAAATACTTCAAGAGATTTTCAAGGTGGTTCAGGGTCACGCTCAGAGCTCTTTGAGACTTCTTGAATATTTTGAAGGGCAAATTGAACTTGCTATATCTTGTTCTAAAATCACTGGCTAAGATCTTTCGAGACTCAACAAAGTCATAACTTGGGGTTTGGTAGCTATACCTTCATCTACACCTATAATTTAAATTCTTTGCAAGATTATATATATGTTGCCAAAGCTAACCTTTCAGGTGGAGGAACGAGAAGAATCGACATGTACGCTTTTAAATTATTACATTTACTTTTTTGTACTTCTTATCACGAACTTGCATGTTAAACAATGATGTCACCCTGCATGTCAAAACCAAAACTCTCAGGATAGCCGTAAAATCAAAACTAAAATTCAAAATTTAAATAAGATAAAATTCACCGCTACATTAATCAAAATATAAAGACAACTCAAAATTTAGTCACAAACATCACAAAATAAAAATTGCAACTAAATTAAGATGTCTCTATCGGATGATCGGGAATCCCTTGGAGGAGGTAACTTACGGTTAGGGTTGTAAATGAGCCGAGCTTGAGCGAGCTCAGGCTTGGCTCGTGTTCGGCTCGTTCGAAATAGCTCGTGTTTGAAATCGGCTCGTGTTCGAAATCGGCTCGTGAACAGTGTGTTCGTGTTCAGCTCGAT